GCTGGGGCCCACAGCATTTCCCAGCCCAGCACCAGCTGGTCCCCACAGCCCATAACACAGACTGTTCATGGAGCTGAGCTGGGGACATTCATGCGGTGCCAAACTTTGACGAAGGGCCACAGAAGGAGGACCTCTCACCTAGCAGGGGCAGCAGGAATACCCTGTTTACAGCCTGCAGTGGGGAAGATGTTAGTTTGTTCCAGATGGCAGGCTTGCAAAAAGGAGGGCTTAAACCACTTACACTGAGTGACAAAAATCAGATTATCTGCTAGCCGATAACTGTAGCTATCAGGTTAGTTACAGTTCAGATCTATCAGCATTATTTATAAGAACCAAATTGATCAGGGGGAACTCACTATAAATTTCTGTGCTGGGAATTTCCCCCCCCCAGATCAGTACACGCTTAAGTTGTTCTCATGGCTTTTAGTGGTACGAAAATTAGGCAGTTAGTAGAAAAGCAGAGAGGCAGCTGAATTTTTTTAAAAAAGAAAGTGTTACTGAATTGGGGGGCTGGTAACAGAGAGGAGTCTGTAAAGAGGCTCTCATGAGGAGCGTGAGAGAATGTATGACAGTGACTGGCATTAGCAGAGCAGTCCTGTACGAGGATAGAAAACACAAAAGCTCATCTCTTGGAAGGATGTATCAGTAGATTTCCACCACATGACCAGCCAAGAAGAAGACAGATGAATACTGCTATTAGGACCTGTACACTCTCAACATTTACAGACTCGTGGTGGACTTGCTTTAGATAGAAACAGGGGAAACTAATTGTGAGACCCACCAAGGACTTACTGAATGCAGAGCCAAGGAAAAAGGAACAAGAAGCAGTCCTGCACGGCTGTGCTTATGGAGTTACCCATTCTCCTAATCTAATCAGGATGTGATGTGTAAGTGTGCTTACACGCCTTGCCAGGGGTAAATTAAGAAATGCAGTAAACCAAAAGCTAATCTGGTTATTATTTTCAGAACAACTTTCTGGATTGGAGAACCAATTATATACAACCACAGCTTCTTACCCTTCTGAACCAAATCCTACCACTCTATATTAAAGAAATGTCCTTTCCTAAGAGAGACCTGTAATCCAAACATCTCAGAAGGGTTCACAGCCATTGCAGCCAGAACATAACAGTGGACCCTTCCTATCTCTTGTGCCACAGCATCCCAGCTAGTAAGGATTTGATTGTTCTTCTCAAGAAAAGCTCAGTCATTAATATCATATTTCCAGTTAAATTGAAACTCTTAGATGTATTTTTCAAGGGTTCTGAGCAGGTAAAACAGGCAACTCCTAATTCAAAAATTAGAAGAGGGAAAATAAAGATCTTTATGAAAGTATAAGTAAATTTGTGTTTATTTGGCAAAGGAAGATCCGAGAATCTGATTCTGCCAAGATGTTAACAGACCAGAGATCAGAATAACTATTGTAGCTTACAACAGACAGGTCTCCCTTCAAAAAAATGGCACACAACGATCATCAAGTAATCATACCATGAACGCATTTGTTATGGCTATATAATTGCCAGTAATTAGGGTTATTAGAGGACAGGGGTTTACCCATTCCTTTTCCATTTTCAGTACAAATCCTGCAGGAATATAGAAATTTGAATTCAAGCATGAATTTGTTGATGATTTGTTATTCAAGGCAGAGATTTCTTTTTCCCCTGAGTGCAAATTATATTAGAAATAGGGTACACATTTCATTTTTAAGATGTTTTTCAAAGACGGCTCTCCCAAAAAAATTGTAAGGCACAGTAATAAAATGTTTTTCATAATAAATTTCTTAGATTCATTGAAAGTATTTATGTAACTGCAGAAAGATTTTGAATTTGTAATCATCCCAATATATAAACCAGATCTTTTAAGTTTGGCAGTAAACTAACCCATACTGTAGCCCATATCTAAACTCCATATGAAATACTTTTTGCAAATACAGTCTAGCACTTGCAAACCTATTAAAAAATAATCTTGTGTGCAGACTGTAGATGAGATGCATTAATTACTATGCAGTACAAGGGCTATTAGCAGGTAGCAGCTGGCATCTGATCTCTAGATTTTGGAAGCGTTGAGGTATATGTAAAACTTGTTACTCTAATTTGTAGGTATTATGCCCAATCCCATATTTAAGCTTAGATTTTCACTTCCATTTGTACAAATTGGTATTATTTCAGCTAATGCTGATGATAAGTATATATCAAAAAAAATCCCTGAAGACAAGAATATGCCCAGCAGCTATGACCTGCAGCTCTGTTGGAATTCAGGTAGCGAGTTTGATTCTAAAAATGACACATTTCTTTCAAAGCAGAGAGAAGAGATTAACCTCCATTTTTTAAGAAACTTGTAATTTATCATTTAAAGGCACGTTGGGGTGAAGAAGCCCTGCAGAGACAAATTTCCCAGCATCAATAAGAATGAAAAAACATCGTTTTAATACAAAAGTACACTTGAGTATTGGGGGAATATTATACATTTCAACAGACAGCAATGACCTATCACAGTATTTCAAAATTTCATGAGGTTTCTTCAAGAGCCCTAAACTCTCAAAGGTCCTCAGCACTCAACTTTTAAAGCTCTGTTCTTCCAAACTTCATTTTGAAACCATTTTTATCCCATTGTGTTGAGTTTACTTTTTTACAGTCATGTGAATGGGTGTTTTTGCTGATGCCTCTTAATGTAGACACAGAAAGAATATTCCTTTTGATTGTGTGAAGGGAGGGAAGAACAATCTTCTGATTCATAGTGGAGAATGATGAGGATTTAATCCTACAAACTCCATTGTGCTTTGCTGAAGCTGCTGCTGAAGCTCAGCAAAGCACAGAAGAAAGAAAGGGGCTGCTCAGGAAGACATCAGCTCTTCCATCACATCGCTGAGTGCATTGTGCTGGCGGGTGTCCATGGGTCTTGTCAGGGAAGGATATGCAAGAGATGGAGATCAACTGTGTCACCTAGGGATGCAGAAACTCATCCTGACTGGAGAGAAGCAGCTAGACATGGGTTTGAATTAGCTTGCCTCCATCCCAAATAAATAATTCAAACCCCAGGCTGTTAGTGACTCTCCTCCTGCCTCTCTGTCTGGGCCTGAGAAGCTCTTCCCCAGCAGCATTCCTCCTAAGCCTTTCTGTACTCCTGAACAAGAATTTTTCGGTGAATTTTTTGGTTAGCTGATAAATTCCCAAACAGCTCTTTCTTAGGACCTGATCTAGCATCATCCCATTGAACTTAATTAGAAAGAATGAACAGCAAATGCACCATACCTGAAAACAAGAGATTCTGACCATATTCAAATTAAGGAGACATAAATATTGAGGAAAGAAGAGTCGTACAATGGTCAGCGCACTAGCTAGGAATGCACAGCCCTTCTCAAAACCTGCCTCTGCCGTAGCTGTCTTGTAAGATCAAGATAAGCAAAGTTAATTTAAACTATCGGTGCAAGAACATGTCATATGTAAATGGGATGAAAGGGCTTCCATTCTTTACAGAAACACTTGCAAATGCCTTAAAGATGAGGATGCAGCTCGCAGCACTTTGGTAATTACAAAATACAAAAGTACCAAGAGGAGTTTTGGCAACTGGGCATCTCTGAACACCAGGGTCTTCTGCTTTGTAAAGGCACCAGTGGAGCATGTGGGTTTAATGAAGCTTTTAAAAAGCCTTGGTAAATTCAATTTCCCAGATAATCCACCTGACGCTCTCCCACCACTGAGCCTCCCGGTTCTGTGGGTAGTAGAGACAGCAACATTTGAAGCTGAGTTACAGCTACCCACAGGCTGAACAAAAGGGCTATCGAAATTATTTCACATAAAACTGGTTTTACTCGAAGTAGATTCCAGTAAAGAAAGTAGTAATACTTCTTAGCTTTCAATAAACTCATATTTTTGTACTTATATGTCCTAGTTGCCAGCTGTGATCACCTGTAAAACTTCTTATGCTTTTCTTAAAGCTCTGGGCATTGAAGACAAATAACTATGCAAGAGTTACAACTTTGATGTAAAAGTAGTAATAGTTTTCTAAGCCCTTGCGGCTGCACGGGAATCACTTATTCCAATGGTTTAAAGTTGATGCTCTAATACCTCAGTGTGTGGAGACCACCCACGATTAGGAAAACCTGAGGAAGGCAATCCTGAAATTTTAGCCAGATGATCCAAAGGACCAAGTTCATGCTGCTCTCATTCTGTTATGTAAATGATGTAAAGGCCCTTGTTACAGCAGCCAGTGGAGTCACCCCAGGGACAGATTTGGCACAGTGCCCTCAGTGTGCAGTTTGGGTGGAACCGAGCAGCTCCACAGAGATACCGCTGCAAAGAGAACTGGCTCTTTCCAGGGACTCTTTCTTCTTGTATTCCTTCAGTGCCTTCTGCAACAAGCAAGACATGCTTAGCAGTCATGCCCTGCACATATGCATACCAGCACTAAACTACTATAAAGTGACCAGACACTTTCCATTCTTTGAAGTTAAAATCTGGTTATTCGTTTCTTTCATGCTGATCTTTGTTTCATTCTGTTTCGTTACCATACAGAACCCATCGTGTGCTGGGAGATGAATCACTGAACTTTTGTTGCCTTTTAGCTCCTCTCTGTGAGTATGTAAAGCACTACACCAGATGCTGAGTGTCCTAAATCACAGTTTCTGTAGCTAAATCCACATTTCACAGCAGGTGTAGAATGTGGTATCTCTGGGTCCTAATCAGTCCCCCTTCTGTCCAAATCCTCACACAGCTGGAGAGCTCAGAGCTGAGGGTCATTCCTGGGGCCACAACGTAAGCTGTAGTTTATGCTTAACACAGGTTCCTTAACAGACTATATGCATAAAGTAAAACCAGTATTTCAGCAACAGATGTGATTTGTAACCATAGAACACCAGACTGTTGAATCTCCAGTCTAAACATAACCGACAGATGAGGACTCTCAAAGGCATTAGGTGGTTAACTAAGGAGTCAGAAATTAATATAGCACAAAGATATTAAATGCATTATACTAGACAAATGTTTGCAATTTAACATCCTTACCGCAGTATCATTGGTGGTAATGTATACCAACACATCCGAGTTGTTTCTGCCATTAATGTACCGGTAACAGTTCCACACACAGCTTATCAAGTAACCCTGCAAAGAAAAGGGATTTATTATTCTGTGCAGAAAATAAACTATATACATTTTTCTGTTAGAGCATTTCTATTCTTATATAACTAAGAATATGAGTCTGATAGAAGCACGGGACAGTCACTTTGCTGGTTGCTGTGACTGTAAGTATGTAGGGGCTCTGTGAGCAATCCAACACCATTCCTCATACTGATAGAGTTGGGGTAGTTCAGTCTTGAGTAGAGGAGGCTCAGAGGAGACCTTACTGTGGCCTTTCAATATATAAAGGGGGCTTATAAGAAGGATGGAGACAGACTTTTTACCAAGACCTGTAGTGACAGGACAAGGGGCAATGGTTTTAAACTGAAAGAGGATGGATTTAGATTGGACATAAGGAAGAAATTTTATGATGTGAGCGGTGAGATACTGGAACAGGTTACCCAAAGAAATTGTGGATGCCCCATCCCTGGAAGTGTTCAAGGTCAGGTTGGATGGGACTTTCAGCAATCTGATCTAGTGAAAGGTGCCCCTGCCCACAGCAGAGGGGTTGGACTAGATGACCTTTAAAGGTCTTTTTCAACCCAGACCATTCTGTGATTATATGTTTCTGTGATTATGGATACTTGTGTTGCACTAGAAGCCAGAGATACTGCAATCTAGATCTATCTGAATGAAGTTTAATATTCCAGATATTTAATATTACAGCCTACTTAATGCAGACCAATCGTTTTGGAAAGAAACAGTTTCTTTGAGCCTGAGTATAACTAAAGTAACATCATTTTGCGTATCTAACCTCCGTTTTACTTAAATGAGCAGGTCACATGCTGGTTTGCTTTCTTATACCTCTCTAGAAATATAGAGAGATATGAGCTCAGTCAGACACCTCGTTACTGTGCATGGGATACTGCGTACCAGCAGGTGTGAGTTTTACAACATAAAATAAAGGTACAAGTTAGATTGTGACAAAAAAAGAGGAGGTGCTGCAAATGCAGAATATCTCAGGGACAGCAGCAAAAAGTAAACAGAAACCAGTTTGGGATTCCTCCATGGTAAGGATGTTTAAATATTGTCAACTGGGGGTTATTAGTAGTAGAAAGTAGAAGCAAACCACAGTAAAAAGAGCACAAACATGCTGGGGACTGAAGAATCATCAAGCAAATTACAGGAAACCCTCCTTGTCTTGTGAGTGGAAGCCTGGCCAATGACTATGTGATGATCCTGTATGTCACCTGCATTGTTTCAATACTCTGTTTCATTTAATCTGATGTTAAATCAATGTATTCCGTATGACTGGAATGGTCTGGGGTCTTCCTATTGTTGCCTGACTAGAGAGAATTGCCAGTGCAAAAGTTTTTATTGAAATCTGAAATTATTTCTGACCATTTCTGATCACAAGCTTCACTAGTTTTATTCTTGGAGCTCACTTTGTTCTGGGCAGGGCTGCTGGCAAATAGCTAGTCGTCTCCACTTTTTTTTTTTAACTGGTTGGGCAAAGTGCTCACATTCATCATCTCCTTCACCAGCAGGATTGATTCCATTCTGGCCAGCAGAGACGAGCAAAGTGACTGGAAGGCCGACAGGAGGCAGTAACGCGTGCGGAGGAACAGGACTCAGATCCTCAGCATGTCAGGAACAAGGCTGGTGGGACTAAGGAGTTCCCTCTGGAGCTTTCTGCTCCCCACTTAGTCACACAAGACAGTGATGAGGAGAAGAATGTGTTTTGGTGGTGCCCAACTTATATTTTTACTCAGTAGATTCTGCATAGCAGTTCTTTCACAAACCTAGTGCGTGCAAATTAAACCACCAGCACTGCTTGGGTTTGCATGTGTGTCTCACTCCGAGTGAGTCATATTTTTGTGACTCACTTGCACTGATGACCTTCCAAAAGCCTCTTATCCTTTTGAGCTGCCCTGTGCTTCCTCCCTCTCCAGAGCTGTCACACAAGCTGTGTTTTTCGAGATGCCACATGACTCACTGATGGCTCGCTTGCAGATCAGGAAGAGGTTTTTTCCACCGGGGCCAAGCTGGCTGAAGTCCACTAAGTTTGCTTCCTCTTCTTTACGGTGTCTTACAGACCCTGGATGACTTGGAGCTGTCGCAGACTTTGAGAATACTTTCTACCATTAAATGGGGAGAGTAAAAGGCTTCTGGAGGGAGCTGAGTCTTAAGAGGTTAGGCTGGCTCTGAAGCCTGAGCTGCAGGCTATGCAAGCCTGGCCAAGGCTACTCAACCAAGTGGTGTAAAGGCATATACATCCATATCCATATCCATATCCACTTCTGGGGGAAACAACCCATCTTGGTAAGAAACCCTTTACACTAAGCCTACCTATTTGCAAACCAATTTCTGTACTCCTCCTGTTAAAATCCAAACTGAGGGAAGCCTTGTTTCAGATAATACCGTCTTATCTGGGAGAAGCTAGTGGGAGATTTATTTTTGAATGTTCCCGTTCCATTAAATGCAGTGAATAAAACACATTTAACTGCTCGATGAACCCCTACAGCTCTTCCAGCTCTGCGCCCTAGCTCTTATCAGCCCTTCTCCTGCATGCACGGGCTGTTTCTCAGTGGGTGCTGACCCACATATGGCTGAGAGTGGTGGCAGCTTCGAGCATGTCCTTGTCCAAGTGCTTTGGATATGTGCTGCTGGCCTGCAAATCGTGAGTCATGGAAACGTGCTTCCTCAAGCTGTAACTTCTTTAAACTTGTTCCCATTCACTGTTTTCTACTGCTGCTGCTGTACCATTAAATGGGATTGCTGATTCAGTTACCGATTTTTTTCCTGAAAAACTCGGCTGAGGTTTCCGATACTACTTTAAAATGTGTGGCTGGACACACAGTATATAAATATATCGATTTTTCTCTCAGGAGACCAGTGTTCACATTTGGAATAGGCCCTATGTAAAAGACATTAAAATCACTTGAGCCTAATCCACCCTTAGCAGTATTCCTACACACCACAGCACAGGCTGCTGACAGATGCCTTTTGGGGGGGGGCAGCCCCAATAGCCACCACATGAAAGGACGGGCGCACAAGAAGGGCTGAGCGTGGAAACAGGCACGGTGCCTACTCCCACCAGCTTTCAGTCCTCCTGTCTGAGTGGTGGTAAACGACTTTAGCCCCTCAGGAACTGAAACCCACAAAACTGTATAACGCTGCCTCTCGCCGTTGGTATTGCATACGTGCTTGTGAAGCTGCAAAACAGCAGCAACCTACTGCACAACTTCTGCTCATCAGACACGTGCCCGAGCAGCTGACGGACCGGCATGTTTGTGGAAATTAGTGGTTGCTGTATCCTGCCGTTTCTTGTAACGCAGCAAGGAAAAGTCTGTGCTGATCTGGGTCACAGCAGCCCTCTGGGCAGCTCCCTCCCTGGCAGCAAGCGCAGGGTGAACGCCGCAGACCCGACAGAGCCCCCTCGGGTTAGGAGCCGTCTGCACCGAGTCCCGTTTTATTCTCCAGCTGCTTTGAATTTTCTATTTGCAGAGCTGGGCTGGTCTTCGCTAACTGGTAAAAATGAGATCAAGGTTTCTACACAAACTGAAATTTAGATGAAGATTTCAGAGGGATGCTAGTGGCAGACCAATTAGCCTCATGTATTTCACATGTCGGTGCTGCAGGAGAAGAAAAAATGGGTTCCCTGTGCTGATAAAATCTGCAATTAAATCTGTCTTCTCAGCACCCTAGAATGTGTATCTTCTGAGTATAAAAAGGCTGTACAAGAATCATTCCTTATAATGCTGTGATTGAAAAGAATTAATGATGTCAAACCAAACCCCTGGCCTGCAACACTTTAAAAGGCACCTTATACAGGCCAGGACATCACCTCTTGGCTCACAGTCACACATACAAGGGTAAGCAATTTAAAGCAAATGCCCCCTGCTTTAGAGAGGGGTAGGTCAGTCCTGTAAGTACCCTGCCCCCAGCAAGCCCAGTGCTGGGACCTGCCCCAGGCTTTCGTGGAGCAGGTGGTAACCTCGTGGCCCTGTGCTGGCCATTGCTGGGAGCAGGAGTCAGAGCATAGCTACTGGGGATGTCTTCATGGTCCTGACTGCTGCTCCATTGCCCCTGTGGGAAGGTAGCAGAGGCTGGGGCGATATGCTGCAGGTCAGGGTTAGCCCTGCCAGGAGGTGTCCCCCTGGGCTGAGACACGAAATCTCTCAGGGTGCTAAAACTTCTCTCAGGGTCATAAAACTTCATTCTGCATCACCCTTTCCCATCTGCTGAGGACACCAGGACATGCAGAGTGGTCTCATTCCCAGGCTCAACACCTCATACACAGAGATTATGGACATATTACGGAGACCAGGGTTAATATTCAGTTTGCCAAAGTTTGCTGATGCCTGTCTCACTGAGCTGGAATACTTTTCAGCTGCCTCACTGGCAACTGCCTCTTCCTACCTACTTTCCAGAAAAAGAAAGGCCAAAAAAGAAGACAAGAAGAGGCCCTACTCAGCGGCTGCAGAGTGCTCAGGGCAGCTTGGTTTATATTGGTTGTGTCTGTGCTCACCTGAGCCGAGCTCATTTGGGCCTGGGGGCTGTGCCCATGGTGGGGAGGTGGAAGACTCAACCGCTGTGTCTCAGCAGCTGGGACTGGCCAGAGGAAACCGAGGCCCTGCTCCCCAGACCAGCTGCAGATGAGGGCATGATTCTAAAGCCACTGTGTTGGCTATATGCCATTTGAAGTCCTGCGTATGTGTGTACAAATACATTTATGCTGCTGGATGTCCTTCCTCAGCCAGATAGGAAGCACCTATGTTTCATGGTATGTACCTCTGGTTCAGTTTCTAGACAAACACGGTAAATGGAATAACACTTTTTGGTCTACCCTGAAAAAGATTCTGTGTGAAAGCACCTGAAATACCCATTAGCTGCTTCAGATCCAAGTAAATCCTAAAGACTAAAAAGACAAGTGCTTGTGTGTGGTTAGCTGGCTCACTTTCTTACTACCCTCTCTTGTCCCCCCCTTCCCTTTCCACAATCCCATGACTGCAACCACCATCTAGTGCTGCTGTATCTTGATTTCTGCTCAATAGTGTTTTTCTTTGCATGTAGCTTCACCCAAAACAAAAGTATCATAACGCCAAATGTTTCTGAGGAATTATGTGATTCTGTTTCATATTTCCCACCAGCTGAATGCAGCTTTTCCTACTGTAGCTTTTCCTAGGTTACAATGTTTTGGTTTCTCTCCCTATTTCTAGTCAAACTCCAGAGGTAGAGGGAGCTCGGGCACATTTTTATGCACAGTACCTTTTCAGTTTCAGTATATAAACGTGGTACCATCTGTTAAGTCTATCAGTGATAAAGTGTTATGCGTATGATAGTGTCCAGCTTTCTTTTCATGGAGCAGATTCCATAAATCTGCATAGCAGCTCTTCTGGAAACATAAGAAATTCAAATGAAAATGCTAACTGGAATTTAGCGTGTGTTTCTGTGTGAGTCATATTTTTCGTTTCTCATTTGCACGTTAATATGTTGCTAGAACGAGCAGTATATGAGCCATATAAACTCTTAGAAAAAACATGTGATAGCCACTTTAAAATAAAATAAGTCTTTTGCACTATTAATTTCTTAGGTTTCTTTTTTCTGTAGTAAGTATTTTTGCCATTGAGATTTTAGTTGTGTTTTTTTTTAAATAAGCTCAAGACTTCCTTGCCATATTTACCCCAGACCCCCCTGAGGTAAAAACGAGCCTTGCATCTGAGAAATTTAAAGAGCACATCCCTGTGGCACCTGACAGATCTACATATTTATTACATTCATAGATCTTTCTTAAAAGTGCAAACAATCAACTGTACGGCTGTGAACATATAAAGCCAAAGGGCTAAACTGTATTTCTAAATTGCAGAAGAAAAGTGAATATCACTTCCAACAGCACCTTAAAATACCCTGCCTCATTGGTTTTGGGTGGGTTTTTTTTCAATTTTGAAGTAGCTTTAATAATCTAATCAACCTCTTTTGTCACAATAACTTTCCCTGTTCATGTTGTCCAATGTGTTGTCTGGAAGCAACATCCCTGGTGCCACCATGGCTCTCTGGGACTTCTCTAATCTAATGTGTAATTGCTCTGCAGAGAAAGAGCAAGAACTATTCTGAAATAGAACCCAACACAAGAAATACAAGACCAGCAGCACTGCGCTGTGAGAAACTTGCAGAAAAGTGCAAGAAGAGGGCTGACATACCAGTGTACTTTCCAAGAGGTCCAAGGGTCAGGAGACTGGTTGAGCCACAGGTGGTTGTTTTACATACGTTGATTTGTCGAATCTTATTTTGAGTTCCTTTTGGACTTCTGCCCTGCACGACAGGCAGGGGCCGACCTTGCTGACCTGTGAACCTGAGCATGGGGCCTTTCTGGATGTGCTGGGCGATGCTACATTTCCCCTCCATCTGGTACTTGCTACCTCCAGCCCTCTCACCTGTGAGGTTTGCGTAACAGCAACTAAATCATCACTCCCTGTGCCCTTTTGCTGCCTGGTGTGACAATCCTTTATGTTGTCCCTCCCAGGAGGGATTGTTTGAATCTATTTACCTGCTCTACAACATCGTTTTTGAGATAGGGCACCAGAAGTGAATGTATGCTTCCAGAGGTGGTAGGCATCAAAACTGGCAAAGAAATCTTTACATTTCTGGGTTTTCTATTCCTTTCTTGATATTCTTAGGAACTGATTTACTTGTTTGACCAGAACTGAGCAGTAAACTAATATTTTCACAGGTCTATCTATTACAGCTACAGGATCTCTTTTTCACACGTCACACTTAGTTTGGAGTCCACTGCAATGTCTGTGAAACAAGACTGTGCTTCCTCTGTGCCCACCACTTACAATTTACCACCAGTGAGTTTCTCTGCCATTTCATTGCTCAGTCACTCAGTGCCATGAGATCCTTCTGCAAAGCTTTCTTGGCTGATTGTTTTTGCTATTTTGAATGGCATTACAAAAAAATCTTGTTAGGTGTCCTTCCCCTTCGCAGACATTTTATGAATGTACCAAACAGCGTGGGTCTCACTGTTGTAAAGACTGATAAATTAACCTTATTCTCTATTTCCTAGCTACAGTCTGTGAGATGACCTTTCCTTTTGTCCCTACACATCTTAGGGTATCTTTTAAAGCCTTTGATGACAGAATCTGCCAAGCACCTTTTGAAAAACCAAGTATCACAGGGTATCAACAGGGTCTCCCTTGTCCACTGGATGACCTACTCCTTCAAAGGATTTATGTGTCATGAGCTTCCCCCAACAAGCATCATGCTTCCCCATTGTGGCCTATACGTTCATGTGTTTGTCGATGAGATTTTCTGCTTTTTTTCCCATAATGTCTGTCACTTTGCTTTGTATAGCTGTCACGCTGCCTGGTCCGTGGTGCCCTAGATCTCTTCTGAAGCCAGGCCTCTCACCAGGGAACATTCCACCCATGACCAGAAGTAGACTTCATACGCAGTAATGCACTTACCTTAAAAGCCAAAATGATACTTATGAAAAGGAGGATAATCACAACCAGACACGTAGGGTTCACAGACATAATCTCTTCCTTGTAGGGTAAATTGGAGGGCTGCATAAGCAAAAATAAGCAAAAGACTGTTAAGTTAATGTCATGAGTCATTTAAGAGTCGTTCAATTAGCGCACTCTATAATTAACAGCTTACAAAACTTGCTGTGATCTACTAAATTGGGAGCTCTCTGCACCAATAACCAGTTTCAGTAAGTTTGGCTTGAACAGGTATCGCAAAGACTCGTTCACTGGAGGGCTGTTCGGTTTGCCTTTTGCTTTGTGTGTGGTGTGGGCTGTCTTCTCCTCTGTGCACGCTGGGTTTGTATCTGACACAAACTAGCAAAGGACATCTCTCTGAGAGGTTTGCAGCAGGAAATCGGCCATCTCGGGCAATGGCAGGCAATTCCTGCCCTTATTAACTAATCATTATGTTGTACTGGCACTGGTTGCCAAAGACGAGTAACAGCTCTTCCAGAAAGTGAAAGCAGGAAAAGCTGGACCTAAATATTTGATCAAAAGATATTGGGTCTATTCTGCTCTATCTTATTTTGGCCAAATTTGGACAACTTCTCCAGGAGCACTTGTTAGTGCTGCTGTCTGAATGTATGCCCCATGGAGGCGGGGGTCCCACAGGAGAGCAATATCATTATTTCAATTCGAAATGTGCTCCAGGTCCATTTGTTGTCTCATACATGAAATGGAGGTGACAAAATTAATCTTCCTACTTAGCGTAGGCTCTAGTGAGTTACAGTTGTGAAACACTTTAGGATCACTGGCTGAAAGACAACCTCTAAAAATATTTTACTGTATTTGTTATTGCTTAAAGAAAACACACCCTTTAAAATGAATGTTCCAAATCATTTTGAAATATTGCAAGGCACAAGTTCCTGTTTCAGTTAGAATAAACCATTGTTCACAGACAGAGCTGTTCTCCACAAAAGATAGCTCCGCTGCAACACTTGCTCATTATAACTGAGTGCACGCAACCCCCTTTTCCCTTACAGGTCTAATTACTTAACCAGGCCAGCTCTGCATCCTTGTCAGGACAATTAACTAGACCGAGCTATAACTGTATTCTTGGCGATGATGGTACAAATCCAGAGTAACCTCTTAATACCCCTTAGACCAGCACTTGGCCCAGCGCATCAGGAAATTCTCTTTTTTTTTTTTGACAGCTGCTGGTGAGAATAGCTCTTTATTTAGCGCTTCCATGAACTGTTCAGAGTGGTTAACATCAACAGCAGCTGTAACCCTTTGCAGAAAAACATTACATAAGCACATTTTCCGCTTCTTGACAGCAGTGTTTCTGTGCCTGCGCTGAATTTCATGGCTGAAGTTTTTATCACGTTATCTTCTTTGTGGAGGTACAGCTTTTGTAGGAAACTAGCTTGCTATAATTCAAGAAGTTGCTGCTTTTTCTTTTTTTCCACAGAAGGTTATTGCTAAATATAGTGGATGCGGTCACCCAGAGACCAAGAAAGCAAGAGTGTATGCCAAGAAAAGATGCACTGAAAAATAAACACAAACCTTATATGCAGAAAATTTAAGTATCAATGACACAGCCTGCCCTCCTGCAAGCAGGAGGGAGGCCATGCATGTGGTTAGAAAGTCCAGTGAGTTAAGGACAGTTACAGTAAGACTGCCCCAAACCAATATTTTTAGTACTGACCTGCCATTAAAAAACTAGTCAAATTAGTTTGTGAATGTAATAAAGAACTCCTAGTGAGGCTTTCATCCTCCTACACCCTGTTTTTTGGGAACCAGTCAAAGACTGGATGACTGCATGCTGGGGTCTTGGCCATAACCTAATGGCCTGTTTTCAGATGTCAACTCAACCAGGATTTGCGTGGGGGCAAGAGCGGGGAAGGAAAATGACCAAGTAAGTTCCGGCTACCTTGAAGAGCAGGAAGATCTACTGGAGCCATGAGCCCTGCCAAGTCTGGGAGCAGCACGTGCCACAGGGTAGTGCCTGGCCCTCTCGTATACCAGCAGTATTTCAGGTGAAAGGACAATAATTCAGCACCAAAAGCAGCAAGCCAGGAGACCACATGAGGAGCAAATGCTGCAGTTTGTCCTCTTCAGGCTCAGCTTTCTGGGTCTCTGTCCTAAAGAGATGTGAGGTGTAAGCAAGCCCCAACGAGGCCATGGGTGGCTGTCCTCACCCACAGGCACCTGGGACATCCTGGTGCGGGGTGTGAAAACCAAAGCTGGCCCCTCCTGGAGCTTCCCAGCTTGCTGTGTGGGAGAGAAAGCTTTCAGGGCCGTGGTGAATAGCCCAGGGGCATCGGGTCAGCATGGAAGAAACTCCCTTTGTTGTTAACAGGGCTGGTGGCACCTGCCCACCAGAAGACGTTTAATGCTGGCTTGCATGGGCTGGCCTACAAGCCGTCTGATCTTGTCTCACAGCTGCAATCCTTTCAGTGCAGTAGGTAAAGCAATTTATAAAACCTGCAGCTTCTGTCAAAGAAGCAGGAAAGGTGACGGGAAGCATCTCAGCTGGCTCCAGGTTTGCCCAGTGCAGGCACCATCATGGTTCTGGTGCCATCAGGTGGCCCTTGGGGTCTGCCCAAGGCAGCAGCCACTCCCAAAGTCTCATTCACTCCCATGGAAAATGGGTACCAACAGTGACTCAGATGAATCAATCAACTATTCCCTCCACTGACTGCAATTATAAGATTAAACACTGATGTGGGTATACAAGGTGGGAAGAGAAATTCTGCTCCTCTGCTGGGGGTTTGCTCTCCTGTGGGGAGACCAGTAGCTGAAATCCTGCTGCTGGGAAGGCCCTGGGCACCGGGCGCAGTGCTGCAACTTCTGGGAAAGGCTCAGTGTCAAATGTTGTGCAAGGTGTGATGCAGCTGAGACTGAAATATGGCTGGGTGGGAAAAATCAAGCCCATCACTGGGAGTGCAGGAGCGATTTTGCAGCAGGACATGATGAAATTTTCTATACAAACGAGGTACTTTTAGTGGTGTGGCACCGGCATGCTAAAGTCATAATTAAAGCGTCATTTATAACCTTGTCATGGACAGGGAGCAGGCTGCATACATAATAACATACTCAGTAAACTTTCAATTTTAAACACATTACTGCTTATACATAGCAAAGCTCTATTAGACACAAAAAATAATCTAAAACTTGCATGGAAAGTATATTTGTACTGCATCGACATTGTACAAATACACAAGAAGAATAAAAAGTGCAAAGCTGTTGCCCTTTCTCATTCCCTCGGCTTGCTTGCATAGCCTTTCACGTTTTACTTTCACTTGGACCACAAAAAATCCCCTTTAAAAGGTGGTGTGGATTCTCATTCAACAATTACAAGCCTCCAAATATCAGAATCTTAAAAAATTGAAAGAAAACAGTAATGTGTCTGTAGAATTTTTAAAGCTCAGCTATGAAGTTAGTAGTACTTCTTCTTTAAAAGTATAAAATGGCATTAAAAATGTCAGAAAGAATATTCCTTTTTTAAGCTTTGGTTTGTAGGAATAATTTCTTTAGGTTTAATCTCTTTTACATTCTCTAAACGTTTCCCCTAGGATTTAAAAGTGTGACTGATACCACATGAATTGTTAGACAGCAGCATTACAGGTAGTCCCATAGTAAAGCTATTAAATATACTTTCAAATTTTCTTTAGATGAACTGTAATAGTCCTGTACTTTAATAAAAACAAAGTTTGCGTAACTCTGTTGCAGACTAGCCTGTTCTGCACCTCTGCAACAATTCATTTTGTATGCTGTTATCAAATGACAGAAGACAAAGTGTTTAATTTGAAGGCTTTAGAAAGCTCATATATCCAAGATTTAGTGGGGCTAAAGAAACAAAATGTGCTTCAGGTCACACTGCTTTAGACCACTACTACTCCAAGAACCAAAACGATTTTTGTTTTGCACACGCTGGATTTACTTTATGTGAAGGTTTTTGTTTTTCTAGTGACGATGATAATAAGCAAGTTGTCCAACATAACCCTTGGGAAGTTTTATCATGTGATTGCCATACAACATTTCAAATGCTAGATTTGTAACATCTACTTATTTTACATGACCCTTCATGCTGAGGTGCTCTTGCAATTTATGGGAATTAAGTGGTACACCTGTGTGCAAGTGGGTATTAAAAGGCAACAAAAAGTTTCCAAAGACACTTGTGCCTCTGAAAGCAGCAGTCAGTATAGGCTGACATTACCAAATGCCCCGTGAACACAATGTTCTGTATTTTACAGTGGCAACATTTTCAGCTAGGGCTCTGCCTAGCCTATTGATAGGTACTCATTTATCATCCTGCTACAAGTACATGGAGGGTTTCACGGTAGCTTGCAACTCATCGTGGACAGACTGAAATCTGGCAGATGTGCGCCAGGGTGAATAGATAACATCATTCCAGATGCTAGCGTAGGGAAATAGAAATGGTCAAAAATATGGGGTTTTCACCTTAGAGCAAGAAAAAAATGTTCTGCTGAGAGTGCCAAATATATTCTATTACCTAATGCATACCTTCTTCCACATTTTCAATAATGGATTTGAAGAATGATTGGGATTTTTCATTTCCCTTATGGAGCTGTGCTCCCTAAAATATCATTCCCCAAATTCAAAGCAGTTTTAGAGGACCAAAAACTGTAAGAATGCCAAGAAGAAACACAATCCTCTTGCTTGCTTTCTGCCTGTCTTGGCAGACCTCTGCAAAGGGGGTGAGGGCAAGATGACTCTAGAGATTATTTATAAATCACCGGGAGGGATCACACCCAACTGGCATGACTCAGGTCTCACCTATGGGGACAAAAGTATTATCTGCAGTCTTGATCTAAATGCGGTGTTTAAGATGACAAATCTATTTACCATAAGTATTATTAAAAGACAGGGAAACAAGTCCATGGGTACAAACCTGGTTAATAATATTCAAGTGCTAGATGGAATTATTGCTAAAAATTTCAAAAGCTTGGTTTTAGTTTCATTTTATTGTGTGTCTGAGTATCTGATACCAGTGGATGTGATCCTCACCTCTCCCTTTTGCTTCTACCCCCTCAGACAGAGTGTATTTGCTCTGAACCAAAGGCAACCTTTTGCCAACTGATGTGGCCCTTCCAGGTAAGGGTACGAGGGGGCCTCTTGTGGTTGCGACCACAGCTAAGACACAGGAGGCATAAACAGCTTCAAAGCTGATGCAAAACAGCTTCAACACAGCCTCAAAACTTTGTTGAACAGGTGACATTAATTCTACAAAATTCATCACAGCTCTTGCTAGTTTTTACCAACCGCTAATCTCCACTGCGAATGATAAAATAGAAATGACTCCGTGTTTCTAAATGAACTTAACTTGGACTAGCTTTTAGCTACTTATTATCATTATGCCTCTCATCTAATTTAAACAACCTTTTAATACCTCATTATTCTGCATATGAAAACTCTAATAGCATCACCTCTCGGTCTCCTTTCTTGGAAAACAAAGCAGGAAAGCTGATTGTCATCATGCTATAACGTATCCAGCTTTTATATAGTTTTTGGAGGAACTTTTCTGCATGTTTTCTGACTTTTAAGCATTGTTCTTTACACCCAGAAACAGACAGATGAAATCTAGTCACCAACTGAGGAGGAAATTCTCCTCTCCATTACAATTCATTGCTGGTTTTTTGTGTCCACAAATCCCACAAGTCATTTTTGGGAACAGCAAAAAAAACCCTGGCGACTCTTGTTTTGGCACTTAGCTCTCCAGACTGCTTACAGGGTCACTGCATCACAGGTACAATTGCCACACTGTATGCTCATTTATATTCCTCTTTTTTTTTACATTTTCCACATTTAGCAGTGTAACACACATTAATGACTGATCTCAGGTTCTCAGTCAGTTTAGCTCACACTGATTAATGGCTCTGTCCTTAGTGTTATTTACTTCTTCATTAATCTCTGTGTCAGCCACTGGTTTTATCAGAAGTGATTTTGCTGGGAAAAGGCACAAGTACTGCCTCTGGGAAATGTAGAGATGTGCTCACTTTGGGCAATAGGATCTTTCAGAGGATGACACAGAATAACTGGATTAGGCTCCTGCTCACAACCTCCTGCTAGAGGACTCGATCCCCCTAGACAGTGAGAGTGGGGAAGGTCTCCCAAGGCTGACAATAGCCTTTGTGAATGCCCTCTTGGATACCAAGGTTATTAATGGAAGTCAGGAAGAGCATGAAACCTAGTGCTGATTCCGGGAGACCTTTGTCTGCCCAAAATAGAAACTCATTGGCAGATGGTCGGCTTGACCACCACCCTTTGCAATCTGCCAGCTAACCTCTCCTAATCCATTTGATACATCCTTTATTGATCTGGTGTTTTATTGTTGCTCTGAGCATCATGCTGCGAAGTCAAACGTCTTGCAATAGTCTATTATGCCCTTGCCCATCTTTATTGACAAAGCCAGTAATCTTGTCAGGGAAAGAAAATGAGTTTGCCTGCAGGACTGATTTTCCGTGAAACTGTGCTGGCAGTCATTAATCATATTCCTCTGGTCTAATCCGTTATCAATTGACTCTCGTCTCAGCACTTCTGTTATTCTGCTTGGTAGCAATGTCAGGCTAATCAGCCTATAATTATCCTGGAAATCCCCCTTGCCCTTTTAAGCACTGACAGTTTAGCACTCCTGAAGTCTTGTGGCATTTCATTACCAGTCCGGAAAAAGATTTACGGCAGCAAGACAAAGATGTGTGCAACCAGAGGTTTTAATGCTCCAGAGCAGCAATGCGGCTCACAAACCGCCCTGCTGCACCATTCCCAACACCTTGCAAGGCCTGCTCCTTGTATCTCTGCTACGGAAGGGCCTGTTTGCTTTTTGTCTGAAGGAACAACAGTGATGTTTTAGCAGACATTTTGAGAGAATCAGCTGCTCGTTGCCCTCTTGGTGAACCAGGTCCAGATGTGGCACCAGGTTTTCAACAGAAGAGCAGGGGCTTTTCGGCGCGCAGGTCCCAGTCTGCTCCCCTCACGTTCTCACACAGTGACCAAGGCTGAGTGAAATCTGGTGACAACTCATGCTCTGGGAAGGGGGGGGAGTTCCTGCAGCCCCACAGACACTTGTGCTGTGACCAGAGCAGGGCTGGCACTGAAGCAGAAGCAAGGGACTGCAGGCGAAGGATGGGCTGGAAGGCTCCAGCCAGCTGCAGTGCCAGCTTCAAGCACTCGCCAAGCTATGGATATAATTTGCTCTTTTCCACTTGTATCTCTGAGAACCTTTTGAATTACTCCTCTGCTTGGCTTCCAGTGCAGCATCAGCCATGAATGCAGGCGGGTGTTAAATAAGGCAAAGGATAACAGGCCCCTGATGCATCCCAGCTCTCGCTCGCTTGACAGATTGCCTCTTCCCGCAGATTTGTGTGGCCACTTATCTGCCTGCTGTTTCTCATTACCTGTTATTTATACTGCCCTAGCTAGTTTTCCATCTACATAACAAAGTTCACAGCCAAGCTAATCTGTATTCAGGTTCTTAAGGCAGAATTTCAGACACAGCAGCAGTGTTAGCTTCTCCCAGAGCTCTGCAACTCCACCTGAATCTTGTCGGACACAGTATGAGGTCCTGTGATAACACAGTCTGGTGGGCTCTTGTCTTTGCTGTGGGTGGTTGCAATCACAGCCTGTAAGCTTGCACAATACTGGCTATGGATGTTTGGCCAAAGTAGACCATGGCAAGAAGGCAGCCTCTAGTTGCCCCTAAGACGGAATCCGGTAATATTTTCTATCAAAACCAAGCCTACATTGAATCAAGCTCCTGCCTTATGAAATCTGTGTTAATGCCACCAAATAAATTAAAAGGAGCAACAAAACATCCTTGAAATAGCACCAAAAATATGCCACTGGATATGAACACAATAACTCTGAATCCAAAAGCAATTACTTATTATCGGTCTTGCAATATGAGCCTCATTCTAAATGAAGTGGTGCTGAGAGCTTCCACAACATTGCAAAACTCCAGAGCTCTGCACAAATATTGTGATTAGTTGGTAATGTAACATTGCAAGGCTGTTGAACACCAACTAGCAAGGACTGAGAGGACTTTTCAAGGGCTGCGTAGGAAGTCAACAATAAACCATTGGCTAGAAACACAGGACAGATAGTGCACCTTGCACAGTTTTTTTCCCCCAAAGGCTGGTGAACATTGAGTGATTTACCAGTTGGCGGAGGTAGTCCTGGATTGTGCTGGGATAGACGAGTACACTGATGGCAACCAATGTGTTGAGAGCAAAGTCAAAGATCTGGTAACAGAAGAAAGGGATGATCCAAGCTGCATGTTGCTAAAAAGGAGATAAATTAAAAACTCATCAGCCACAAATTAAAATAGAAAGTTATATGTCTTTCTGCACTAAGATCTAAGGAATATTTGACACAATGTATTACATTTCATGAAGCCATAAGAGAAAAGAACTTGTTAAATCAGCTAAAAGAAATATGACATTCAGCCAAAAGGGTTGATGAAGCCAGCTTGGCTGCTGAACTGCAGTAATACGTGTGGTGTAAGTAAGTCTCACGACGACTTGTACTGGGACATTTAGAAACCACATCACACACTTTTTTCCCCTAATTAATAGGATTAATATTGCGAAAAACCACAGGCTTGGGAGGTGAATGGGAAAAAAAAAACCTTTAATTTCAGTAGGAACAAGATTTAGTTCTCTGAATTCACAGTTTGCCCAGGGCTTACTCATATTTGAAACTGCAGACAGTCAACACAACTGGGCAGTCCTCGTGCCTGGAGCATGGGGCCCTGGGGTACCACTGAT